CTCTTAGCAGAGTCATCTGACGGTGTACGCTGGATTTACCTGTTCCAGTGACGGGCTTTTGTGAACGTGGCGACGAATTGCCGGTTCCCTAAAAATAAAGGATATCCCATCAGCTGAGTAACTGTCAGCAGCTCAAGGACGAGTGTGTAATTAGGGTAGCCACTATGTGACGTTGTATTTGTATGTCAGTGCTTCACTCAGAACTTTATTACACATTCTCTCTTTCGCCACCGACGGATTGAAAGGCGTTCACATAGGTTAAGACATTTCCGTCTCCGACGTCTCACTAAGAACACGTAATAAAGCTATGTCCTGCACCCAAAAGCATAAGAACCAGTTCTCACCCGCGATATGTTGGCTTTCCTCGTCATTATTACAGTGTGCAGTAACTAAACGTGCTCAAAACAGAGCTGTGAAGCCAGCGGAGACAGCCGTTGCTAGGGAACGGCTCTATAAACACATCATTGCTTGGTAGCAGGAGTCTGCAGGCAGACCAGTCCGAGACAGTCCCCCCTGGCAGAGGCGTCGGAGTTGAGAAGCTCCATTGTAAACTGTTGCGTAGCAACGCCGAATGGTTTGTAAGATAGTCGCCGGCCAGAAAGACGTGAACACGTAAGCTGAGGAATCTACGGTGTTGGGAGCCGTTACCAGACAAGACCGGTGAAGGCACAACAGTCTGAGAAGACTTAGTGCGTGCTGAGTGTATGATTTAGCGATAGCTCTAGGTTACTTACAGTTACGATCCGTAAGTGTGCTATAAATTTAATTACCAATCCGAACCCCTTCTATAGCCGCTCGATCACGAGACTTAAATTAAGAATGGTGGACCTAAACCTCCACGCCCCCATGTCTTCATGCCATAGTGCTCAACTAATTAAGCACAGGGAAAACTTTACTGTACATCCTGTTTGCAAGAATACGAGGTGAGTTCTGTAATGTATTCGGATATTCTGTATTAACGCCTGCGGTAAAAAAAAAAGTAAAGCTATTCCTGTAACAGGCCGTGGAGACCCATAGGGTTGTGAGACGTCGAGGCTCCCGCATTTTCTAGACAATCGGATCGCAGATNCCCAAGAATATTCCTGGTACTGATTTCTGTTAGAGGCTGAGTCAACCCCAGGGCCATAGTACGGCTGGTAGGATTAGGTAAATTGTAAAGTTCAGTGATCTCATTGGGATTTGAACCCGCGACCATCCTGCTTGTAATATAGTGCCTCAACCAACTACGCCACCGCGTGCCCCTTAGAAAAAGGAAGACTTTTTTCGTTCTTTTTGTTCCCTCCTCTTCAATATATTGTCTCTCATTAACCTCCCCCCACATTCTCCCTCGCTGTCAGTACTTAGTTATGGGACGCTTCTGATAAAGCAGCTACCACTCCAGTCTGTCTGCATTCTGCTCTGCTGATCAGTGAGAGTGTGCCGACGTCACACTTAGCAGCCAACGTGTGCAAGTCACAAGGCTTTATCCTCGCTTCCAGCGCTGTGCTCATTTCCTGTGATGGCAGAATGTCAAGGAAACTGTATATTTTGCTTTATTGTTCAGCTGCCGACGTTGTTAATAGCTCCCTTACTACGTATCGTCGAATGGTGGGATGATTAGTGAATAATTAAATGGAAATGTTATGAATGGAAACATCCGTGGCCTAATTTGAGTTGAAAATAACCAGGAAAACCACACCCTAGGTAAAAGATGAAGTTGTCCCTGTGCTTAACTAATTAAGCACTACGCCATGAAGACGTGTGGAGGAGTGGGTGTATAGACCCACGTTTTCTCGACCTCGGCACTAGTTGGTGAGTGGTCAGCGTCACGCCCCTGCCGTTTTAGCCCCAGTACCCATCGGATAGGAGGCTGTGTGGGCCCCAGAGCCGGTCTGAACGACGTGGAGAAGTCAAAATTCTTGACCCTACCGGGGTTCGAACTCCGAACCCTCAGTCGTCGAACCCGTAGCCAGTTGCTATACCGACTGAGGTATCGCGACTTTAGCCACACCCAGGGTTCCTGGAAAAGTCTGTTTCAGAATAGTCATTTTCGGACCGAGATTTGAACCCTGGCTTCTCGAACAAGAAGTATATTTACAGTAGATATCACATTCTGAGCTAGAAAGCAAGTGCAAGGTTGCACTTGCGACGTAGCAACTGCCATAATGGAAGTGAACGCAGTAGAATAGCAAATTGTTCAGAGCAGAGCAGAGACTTGAACGATGGGGCAAGACTTGTCCTCACTTCACTGTCATTGCTGTAGGCGGGTGGAATTGTGTCCTTGTGTTTGAGCGTGGTCGCGGGCCAGCTCACCTTGCGGCCATAATGTAGCGAGTTTCAGACAGCGCTTAGCGAGTTTCAGAGCACACAAATGCGTAACAACTTTGACAATCCAGTATATAAATATTGATAAGCCGGTTTGAGATCACAGCAATGTGTAACAACCTCCAGAAGCCTGTCTGAGAAGTCATGCAACCCGGAGGTCCTCTCTCCCATGGCTGGGCTGCCCTGCTGCAGTACGCACAGCAGCAGTGCTATGTGGGTCTCAGGCCTGTTTATTTCAATCACAAAGGCTGCCTGATAAAGAGGGCTGGTGTCTCAGTACTTGCACGCTCAATGGGCAAGCCTCTTATGCGGCTATATATGATGCAGTAAATCCTCGATTTAACGGACAAAATTGTATGGCACTTCCTCGTTATTTGGGGGGCACACGGCAGCGTAGTTGGTTGAGGCACTGTGCCACAAGCCGGAAGGTCACGGTTTTGAGTCCCTATGAGGTGAAATTTTTCAATTTACCTAATCCTTCCAGCCACACTATGGCCCTGGGGTCGACTCAGCCTCTAACAGAAATGAGTACCAGGAATCTTCCTGGGGGGTAAAGGCGGCTGGCGCGTAAGGCTGACAACTTTATCGCCATCTGCGAGCCGATTGTCTAGAAAATGTGGGAGCCTCGACGTCTCACAATCCTGTGGGTCTTCACGGCCTGTTACAGGGATAGCTCTTACTTCCCCGTTATTCCCCTTTTGATATGTCGGGACTTCCCCGTAATAGCCTGGTATGCCGTGTGTGTGGACTTCGTTAGTCATGCTGCGAACTTAACCCGTATCTAGTACATAGATTCGATCTGTCGCAAATTAAATTTATGTTGTGCTGTGCCTGGTTTGTTCTGCATTATAAATATTTTATATAATTAATACACCATGGATAAAGGTAAAGGTGTCCCTGTGTTAACTAATTAAGCACTGTGCCATGAAGGCGTATGGATGAGTGGATGTACAGATCCACATTTTCTTGACGGCACTATTTGGAGGTAAGTGGTCAGCTTCACATCCCGGCTGCTTTACCCCCGGGGAAACAGCCTCTGGTACCCATTGGATAGGAGGTTGGGTGGACCCCAGAGCCGGTCTGGACGACACAGAGAAGTTAAAATTCTTGACATCACCGGGACTCGAACTCCGACCCCTTGGTCGTCCAACACGTAGCCAGTCGCTATAGCGAGTGCGCTATCCCGGCTCACACCGTGGACAAAACAAAAATAAAAATGACAAACTTGAGTGTAAAACAAAAGTTAGAATTGATTGAGATGTGTTTGTGAGGAATACGGACATTCGGCAATATCGGACACCCCTGCCCCCTCCCCAATTATTCCGTTAAATCGAGGTCATACTGTAACAAGCAGTGCATTTTTATGGCTTGTCTTGGGGAGTTTGGTTTGAAGTTGCGCAACGATTCGTATCTGATAAGGACGGAAGTCGATATTAGCGATACCTCTGTCGACTTCTCGATAACTGTTGAGCATTTAAGTTTACAGCCAACGGATTTGTTTGTTTTCGTCCTTTGATAACCGAAACTCAAGGCCTGGGACCATAATGTTTGCTGATAGAACTCAGATTGTTACGTTTTTGATGGAGCGGATCCTGTTGCCATGGTGATCGTCACTTCCAGTCCATTCATAGATGCAAACCGGAAGCTTGGCCTTTAATGTCAGCAATTCGACAGTGTTTGCATGCATTTAACTATCGTGATATGTCGCTGGAGCACCGTTCACAGGGAAACACACGAAGCTGCAAGCACGCAAAGGAAACATAAATATGATGATACTTGTATCGGGTTCGGATTTTCCTCCATCGGTCATTCGAGTGTGTATTACGTCACCAAACCTCTCATTTTGAAGCATGCAACATTGAGTTTCTGTATTCGTCGCTTACGTCATATTTGTTCTTAGTTAACGTTTAGTCTTTGAGCTCTCGAGCATGAGTTCACATTTGTTTTGTATTGATGGGCATCATCAGAATTTCCGCCCCCCGGGGTGGAGGTGCAGCTTACAAATTTATGTGTAAGCCGTTCAAAACTGTTTACGGATAGCTGTAGAGTATTCAGGATAGAAGAACAGATCATTTTAAGAAATAATTGAATATTTCGTATATTTCCTCCACCTTCTCAGTTTCGCTTCATAAATCCGGGGGAGGGGGGTAGAGCATATGCCTCGTTTGCCCCCCTCCCTCCTACCAGCGCCCATGCCATGATTATAACGTCCGTTTTGTTCCATACTTGCGCAGACAGAAATCTGCTATTGTGATTAACTTCCTGAGCCAGCAGGACAGCCAGGCTTGTAAACCTGTCCCATAAACTCTTACCCAAGTTATGCGAGATCTGAGGTTATCGTAAGGGTGGCTATGAAGATTTGTGTCATCTGCCAAACTATACGGCATCACATCCCGGAACACAGCATTTTCTTCATCGAAAAATTCGTATCTCCATTGGGAGCGACCTGTGTTCGTTTTGCTACGAATACAGTTATCTGTTCCTCCATAGCTTCTGGTGTCCTGTATTGAACAAGGCGAGGTGGTTCCAGTTTCTATGTCCCATCTGTAAATCTGGCGTCCGCATGAAGGGGTTCCCCATATACCTGTTGTGACTTAATGGACGGCAGAAATTACAGCGTTAGCTCATCAAAATATCCGGTCCGGTAAGAAGAGATAAAGGCAGTGGGAGCTGATTTCTGTGTTTTATTGTTGCAGATGTCCTCCGGAAGCAGCGAGTGGGAGTAACCGGCTCAGGTGCGTGACCAGATGGACGGATTTTCATGATATGTTGCACTGACTTCATGAGATTGCCTCAGAACGCATTCCCGCCATGTTTCTCTGCAACCGACATCAATAAAACTAACATGGCGATTGCACGAGCTTCTGAGACAAATACGATAGTAGTGTTAAGTTAATATTGATTGGTAAAATCTTCCAGTTACAACAAACTTTTACGTATTAATACCATTTTTGTTCGGCGCAGAATAGTAATATTGCAGCTGTGTAAATGGAGCAGAACCCATTTGTGCTTGTAATTGGCGATCGATAGCCATTATACATTTCTGGAAGGAATTTCGAAATTTGATACGTGGACAGAATGTAAGCATATCTACAAATTTTGTTTGAGAACTTCTGTTGCTTGTTGAAACTGCAGACAGACGCCGGCCTTATGTTCTGAACTGCGTCACGAAACTGCTTTATCTTAAGTAAGAGACATTTTCATATATGTATGTTCGTATGTTTTGCTTGGCAGAGAACGTAGTTACTCTCAATATCTGAAAGATGGCGTTAGTCGACAGAAAGCATCGGAGCATCAGTCGATAACAGTTACATGCTTCAGTATCCACGTACAGTTATAAGATTGAAAGTCAGTATGTGTATATAGACCTAGACATAGGTTAGTTATGTGTGTGTATGTATTCATTCATTCATTATTGGAGGGGGTGTGTTTCCCCATGCACCGCGTCCAGTTGATCTATTGTACGTCCCCTTTGATATTCTACCAGTCGCCATACCCCTCCTGTATGGTGCTTGCTATCAGCCCCGCTGAGCCAGCGAGTTCGGCCCCTCTACTAGCAATGGTACCCGATACTTCCCCCATCTACCGGAGGCATTGGAAACTACTTGGGCTGGAAACGTTTTACCTAATTTTGCTCAGAGATCTCCTAGAGAATGTGGATCTTTTACGTGCCGTAAATCTACGACACGGGACCCACGGCTTAAAGCCCCTCCCGGAGGTCTTGTTCCCTGAATTTTTCCGCCCTTAAAAATTCCACGACCTCCGCGTACCTTGAGTCATGAGGTGGGAACGTTACCCCTAGACTACGGAGGCCGCTTGTGTGTGTGTATATGTACGTATGTATGCATGCTTACGCTCGCAGAGGACTATGACCCCGGACAAATTTTGAAGAAATGTAGTACAAAGTAGGACCATTTTAACTTAAAGGAGTAGGAAGAAGTAAGGGTAAGAGGAATAACAGTTGGACGGGCAGATAGGAAGGGATGAGGATAAAGGTATTAATCGTTANGGGGGGGGGGTAAGATAAGATGACGGACATGATATTCTCCGGGTAAGCGAAATCTGCATATGCGGTAAAAGCCACGCCAGATGGCAGGACTTTTCAATTGTTACATATTAAATAACCCTTTAAAGACTTAATTTCTTCTAAATGACATGAACATGCAATCCAAACCTCAAAGAAAATCCATTTCGTCTCCACTAGAAAGATCAACTAGTGAATTCTGTTTAGGGAGATTATCGCTGTTTGTTGTGAGAACCGTACGAAACACAAATACACTGTGTGGGCAGGATATATAGCAGTTCAGTCCGTACCTCTCAGGAAACACATTACGTCTCCACTAGAAAGATCGAGTGAATTCTGTTTAGGGAGACCATCGCTGTTTATTGTGAGGACCGTACGAAACACACAAATACGCTGTGTGGGCAGGATGGTAATTTTCATAATGTCATAGCAGGTGGTAGATACAGTACCACGGGTATTTAAATGGTTAATTAAGAAATACAGAGATTTTCCATAGAATTTTCAGCAGGAATTATTTCTCTTGACCTGTGTGTGAACATGGAAGCCTTGCCTGAACTTCCTGTTTCCACATTCAAGATAGCCTGCATTAAATTCTTAAATTGCTTTTCATCAGACGGAAGTGGCCCGGCAATATTTTTTCGGGTGCTCCAATTTTACTTCCGACCCGAGGTTGCCCGTGAATTGCCACGCTGCTGTGCTCTTCTGTTGAGCTGTACGTGTGTGTACAGAGCGACTCGTGGGATATGCCTTGAATCCTGTGTAACGCCTTGGAATTAAAATGTAAATGATATTATCACGTCATAGTGACTACACGGGTTTCCGATTGATAGTTGGTTTCAGTGGACACCGAATCCTCCTATTTACAAATAATTGCACAGTATACGAGATTCCTGTCTCGTTTCGCAATGCGTTATACCATGGGTGCTGGCTTTGTCGTCAAACAGACGTTACTAGGTTTCGGGCTCTAATAATGCGGTCTCATTTATTAATTACGAATATGGTCATGACTTGGAAACAAGAGTAATTATGTTGTCGAGGGCTAGCAGCAGTTTACCAGACCAGAGAAGCACGCAGCAGCACTTGGATCTTGGGAACCCCCTCAGCATTTGCTCCAAGACAAAAAGGGAGACCCAGAAATCCGGTCGGACGACCTCTCGGTTGCAACAAGCTTCCAGCCAGACGCTCCTTAGTTCTGGTTTGGTCTGATAATTTGCTGCCGGTCTTCGCCAGCACAGCCATTCTTGGTTTCGGGCCCCGTCGGGACTCATACTCGTTTATATGTCCGTAAATCGGGTCTCTTCTTCGAGGAGAGAAGTGGGCGCCACGTTTGTCGCACCGTATTTCTGCACGAGTGTACACGCACTCACACAGCGCCCAGGTAAGGGCATTTTTACTGTGTGGACACCATTCACGCTCTGTCATTTTAGTACAGTGACTAGTACTTATGAAAGATATACACAGGACATGCATAATTGTTCGAATTATTGTACTGGAATGAAAGATAACGCTGTGTATCACTTCGTTGCGGACCGATTAGAAAACGTCGCCTCCAGAAGTTTCTCGACTGCTGTGCGCTCTTGTGCTTGTCTTTGCGTGGCAATAGATGCCTCTAAGGCATTTTTCTGATCCAAGATTCGACTTTTAGGCGTCGTGTCACAATACACTTTGCGGCAGTTAGATGTTTTCCAGACTGGCAGTAAGGCAGGGGATCAATAAGCCCGTTTCCAAGGCAACAGCAGCGTCCTTCTGGCGACGTGGCCTCCGGCGTACGGGCGGCGTGAAGACGGTGGCCCAGCGGTTCAGCGACCCGGCCGTCGAACGGCTGTTATATTTACTGCACAGTTCAGGTAGCCGAACACTGATACTGTTCATTTACTCCTATTATACGGTTCAGCTGACTGTCAAGTAACCCAGTTGAAGGCGGTGCCATAACTGAGGCGGTTAATCACCGGTTTCCCATCGCAGCGGTCCGGGTTCGAGCCCAGGCCAGGCCATGTGGAATTTGTGGTGGACAAAGTGGCAGTGGGACAAGATTTTCTCCGAGGACTTCGGTTTCCACCTACTCCTCCACAGTAATCATCATCTGTCATCCGGGGAGGGTACAACAGGCCAAATAGCGGCCGATATGCCAAGTAAGCTCAGTCTACCCCAACCCGAGAAGAAATAAACGCAGTTGAAAGTCAAAAATAAGCAGTCAACACGTGCAAGGGCAAACCGTGCTACAGTTTTCTCATTGACGAGGAGTTCCAAGTACAACTCGCAAAGCCTGCTTGCCTGTTGCGTGCGTTTCTTGTCAATCAGATCTTTTTGTCTCTTGTTATACCTGTCAGATGTAACTTCTAATTTTCCTACAGTCTCCATGTTTTGTAATTAGTGTCTTGTGAACAGTATTTCGTACGCTGTGTGTTATTGTGACATAGGATCCATATCAGACCAAAGTTTACATGCCCAGCTGCAATCCATCACTGGTCATGACCATCAAACCGAAAACTAAAAATAATATTTGCGCAGCTGCCAGTGCCTAATTTTGCATTATTCAGAAAGGATATTACAGAAAATGTTTCATGATTTTCCCATTCTTTGGCGTCATTTCGGGACTGTAAAGTACGGGCGCCATGTTGTTCTTAGTGGTTGTAGTAACTACAATGTACGGATTTGCGGTGGCTTCGAGAGTCAACTGGTTCGAAAGTTGTTTCTTGAAGTCTCTGCTCTCCATGTCACACTCACACTTCTCGCTATAAGTTCCCCTTGTCGGCTTCCCTTTACTCTGCTCCTGGAACGGAAGGAAGCACATTTCTGTGATTCAGAAACAACGCCTTGTGAACTAGAGCCGATATCTGTCGTCACAGGAGAACGATGAGTCATCACATGCGAGAAATTCGAAATGATGTAATTAAAAGTGCCCAGACCACGAAGATGACAAGAAAATCGAACCCGAGTCTCTTGAAAGGTTGCTAGTAGTCAGATTCACGTTCCGACCGACGTACAGTTCGTTGGCCGTTTCGAGACGCTAACAGCGCAGGAAGCCACAATTGTTTGTGGGATCAAGATACCATTCTCACGCGCTACTTGAGATACGGACGCAGCCGCTGCTGACCTGGACACACGTGTGGCCTTGACGTTCATTTGTTGCACATACAAAGTGAATCCGTTGCATGTTCGACGCATGGAACAGTGTTTCAAATAAAATCAACATTTTGAAGCCTGAAGTCTAAATAATATTTAAAAAAATGCAACTCCCACCTCACAGAAAACACTGCGTCTCCATCACAAAAACCAAAGGGTCAGTGCTGTTTACGGGAATAATCGCTGTTTATTTCCCTGATCATATGAAAGATTTGAATACGATGTGTGAGCTTTTTAATATTAAATTGTGTGGTACATATTAAGAAGCTGTATCTTGGAGAAGGATGGAGAAGATCAGTTGGACCGATTATGTGAGAAATGAAGATGTGTTATTTAGAGTCAGTGAGCAGAGGAATATCCTACACGAAATAAGAAAACGGAAGGCCAATTGGATTGGTCATGTTTTACGCAGAAACTGCCTTCTAAAAGAAGTTATTGAAGGAAAGATAGTGGGGCGGATAGAAGGGACCAGAAGACGTAAGAAGATGCTGGATGACCTTGGGGACAGAAGAGGATATTTTCATTTGAAGGAGAAAGCTCTAGATCGCATTAAGTGGAGGAACTGTTTTGGAAGAGACTGTGGAC